TTTATTTCCCAGTCACTTCTCATTGCGATATGATCAGGCTAACTATGAATAAGTTCTCTGGCTTTTTGGGGACAAACTGCACTTACCATTGAGGACAATCCATTGCAATTTGCGAGGCTAATGGGTCAGCAGCTACAGTAGCGTGCCACTATGTTCTCTCAAATAAAAGGAGGGAATTGGTCTGTAGGGTAATGGTTCCCGTGTGCCGTCTCCACCTTTCGCCTCGGACCCCGTTAGTTGCAGCACTTGCGGACACGCACCCACCGGTTGGAACAATCAGAAGTGAGAGGACACAGACAAGTAGCTCGGCCAGGCCTGTGGCTGCGACAGCGCTGGCGGAGTATGGGGGCGGCACCCGGGTACTGCTACTTTCCCACCCCGTTCGCGTGTAGTTCTGAACGGAGAAAATGGTCCGCTTTCGCAGCTTTGTATCCTCCCCACACACGGCATGGACCAGAACTCACAGAAGCGTTCAGTTTATATTCAAGAGCGACAGACTGACGTCTACAATCAAGCGTGGTAATTGGGTACCCTGGACGGGAAGGGAAGGCGTCTATGCGCTACGCGTGACGGATCCGTATCGCGATTGTGAGGAATGCTTTGCAAGAGTTCGAAATGGCCTCTTTTTTGTGACCGTAGGTGAGCTATGCATGAGCTTGAACCCGCAAGCCTGTTGGAGAGACTTCCTTTGCGAAGACGTAGACTGTTGATAACCGGATTACGAGGAGTTTTATATGATCCTGAATAAACCATTGTAGTTCCTGCAGCGTCTGAGAAGAAACTATTTTAAATAGTGCCCTCAAAGCTATACTAGACATACTCCACGTTTTTGATGCCATTCCTTACTGTGAATCCACTGAATACGCATGCCAACGAATGCCTATTGAGAATGAGTATCGACTGTATTTAGCTTGGCCAAGCTTTTCAAATTTTCGGCGCAGTTCGGCTGCCGGGTTGGGGGGGGGCATCTTGCACATTTGCTACTTCCTGTCGACGTGTCGAGTCATGTAGAGAGCTATTTCGTGAGCTTACAGGAGTTGAAAGGTTTTGCCGTGGCTCGACGAGCTTGCCTCAGCTTCACAAGGCTTCAGAGGTCTCACCAGTGTGAGGACGAGCTACTTACTGGAGCAGCGAAAAAGCAACTCCATCGCCATGCCGAACTGAGCCCGATTTCCCGGTTATTCGAATACTCTTGGCCAGTGGGAAATAGGTTTACTTAAAGACCACGATGATCGGATGGGAAAACACCCATGACTACTATGCTCTCGTCATAGGTGTGTCCTTTCCTCTACAGGATTTGGAGGTGAGACGCGCTAATGGGGCTGCAGAATAATTGTAGGTTTCCGTCCAGTTCTCAGTCCATTCAAATATAGCGGAGTGTGTCTTCAAGCGTTACTGGGTTATCATTGGCCCAGATGGGTGATATTGAAATCTTCTCGGAAAGCTTGTTTCAGGCACTTCGCAACTTGGCTTCCACACCACCTACTGATGCAACTCTATCGAATTGGATCACAATGATGCAGAGCGCTCTATACTCGATATTACTGCTTGTGATGCGTGCAGCTAACACGTTTGCACCGATGTATCCCCCTGCGTCACATCTGGTTTTTCTTGTTATTTACCAATTTTAAGCCGATTATCGCAAAGACGAGTGTGTGTTGATGCTGTCGTGTGTTGTTCTGGCATCAGTGGCTCCTCGACAAGTTGTGCTCGGCCATCGTGAGAGTTTCCATCGGCTTGTGCGGCTTATCCGTTCACAGTTGCACAGTGACCATCCTCAGGTGAGCGGCATGTTTGAAATTCTGGGCTTAGGAGCTAGTTGGCAATTATCATATCAGCAGAAATTTGTTCTACCTTATTACGCTCTTTCGGCCCAGCCTGCAATCAGGGCACGTCCCGTCCTGGGGAAATTCTTTGCAAAATATGACTCCCCAAAGTTCCTTGTTGTACGTACAACCCACGCCACCCTTCTCTATCTTACGTACTCTTACTCTTTCTGACCTTTCCCAATTTCGCACCATTTGTCCACGAAATATTTCATTTTCCATCAAAAGTGGTTGTCGAGCACGGGAGGGTGTCATCTCTTAGCAACTACTAAATACAGCTATCATAATGGTCAAAGTGGCTGTTGCACGGTAGTTCTGCGGCGCCGCACCAGCTTCAAAAAAAAAAAAGAGGGGCGGCACTAGTACATGCTGAAGCGGAAACTGTGATAGTCACCAAACACGGATGCGACAACCCCACCGTATATGTGCTTCCGCCCTCATCGGTGGCCTGCTTACGCCTGCCTTTTATGTTTGTTGATAGCGGGGCCAGACAAAGTCCAGACCTGCGCCTTGGTATCAGGGCAGCTTCATGCCGCTGGCGAAAATTTTCGGAGAACACGATTCTCCCAGGTTCGTCCTCTTCTCCCCGCCTCCTTCTTCCCATTCCTACCTACTATCCGGCACAGTTTTCCGAGCTTTCTAGCACCTCTACCAAAATTTCCCAAAAATTTGCAGTTTTTTTCCTCAAAAACGCATGCCGACGTCGAGCGATCCGGGGCGCCGAATGTATAATATCATGCCAGCTAAAACGCGGAGAATCGCCTCAAAGTCAATTCACTAGGGCATAAAATAGTTCGCCAGCAAATTTTATGGCCAGTATTCTTTCTCCAGGGCGCCGACACCCCCCCCCCACCCCTCTTTTCCAGCGACGAACAAATACACCCCCTCTTCGGACGCTTCCACTTATATGCGACTAGCCATCAAACAGGAATGCCTACAAAAAAATTTTCAGAGCAAAGGCGGACCCCCCACACTCTCTCCAGCAAAATGCCCACACCCCCTCCCGGTGGAATTCCCCAGCGTACGACGTGCCCTACCGAGTATAGTTCAGCCAGAGCGTGAATTAATACAGAAATTGAGGCAAAGCTAGTGTGGTGGTTCCCCCCACCACACTAGCTTTGCCTCAATTTCTGTATTATCAAGCCTCGTACCGTGGGTGCTGCGCTGCTGTTCAGCGTTTCCTTTATTTTTGTCTTTAGAAAACTGTTTTTTTTTGTCCTTTTTGGTTTTATTACCTTCGGTCTATAAAGTGGTTACAGATTGTCGCAAAAACCCTGCAGTCCCTGTCGTCGCTGTTGGCTCGACGTGACATCAACGGCCCCTTTATCTCATCTCTTGGCCGCGATGTTTTTAATGTCATCCGGCCACTCGTCACAGGCGATGACGTTATGACGAAAGTGAAGGGTAAAATGTCAATTGATTTTTGGCAGGTTCGATTCAAATTACTTGGTTTGCTTGTTTTTTTTGATCTGAATCGTTTTCCTATAACCCCTATTTCAGGACATCACTGAAGAACAGCTACCGGTTATTCAGGACGCTTTCAAGACTTTGGAGGTGCTGGTAACCGTGGCTTTGAGTGAAAAAAGAAGTGCGCTACACTAACTAGAGCGAGCTAGTTTTCAAAGACCGATGTCAAGTAGGGATGTAGGTAGGGAACTGGGGCTGACCACAGGTACTTGAGCACCCACAGGAGTTCCAGTCAGGGCACACCATCGCTATGTAAAACGTGTTTGACCGCTGGAGATGCCGAGAGTCGTAGAATTAACGTAAGGCCTAAACTTCTGATATTTCAAATCTTTCGGGGCGCATTGCCGGCCTTGATGGGCGCATTTTGCTAGTTCCTCTTCCGCCTATCTGTGGAGACTCGCCTAAATCCCTGCTTAGGCTGAACACAAAGCACGAACTTTTGTTATACGCTTGCAGGAATGCCAAGGTCTGACGAGATTAGTCGTTTAATTTGAGAGGACTAGCAAAAGAGCTAAATTGCAAGGTGCCCCTCTAAGCCGAGTAGCGCCATATTCTGCCCGCTCTGTTAAGCGCATTGTTGGGAAGTCTTTCATGGGGAGGGGTGTCGTATTTGAATTCACACCTGGCGCCGAAAGAAGTTCTTCGTAGGCGCGAGAAATTCCGGTTGTTGACTTTTTTTGGGTTTCCCCTTCTCGTGGGCCACATGAACCTCCTAAGTTGCAGCGCGGCACAATACACTGCAGCTGCACTTTTTGCTAACTGACTTTAGGGGTTTGACTGAAAAGACTCCCCCCCCCCCCTATTTTGACACAAGTTTTTCTGGGGATGTGGAGAAGTTTTTGGAGAAAAGGTAAAGGAAGTTGGGAAAGTTTGTTGAGGTGATAAGGTAGGATGAGGAAGGGGATAGGCGAGTACTCGTAGTAGATGAGAAAGACGAGGAGGAGGGATCGTGTTTGCAAAAATTTCTACACAACGTGATTGTATGCCCTGGTTGCGTATTCCTCGGGGGAATAGGGGTCGTATCTGAGCTGTCGATGGGGTTCGATTCGGGGCAGCCCAGTTAGAACTTGCCGTTGTTTTGTCAGCAGTTTTGTGAGTTTGCCGCATCACTCAATGACTGATGTTCTGCGGGGTAGGTGGAAGATTCGCATTTTGAAAGAAATGTCCCTCACGTTTTAAAGGCTGTGATCAGTTCCTGCTTGCCTCTGCCCCCCCCCCTTCCCCCTCCCTACGCGACATTTGCCGTTATTTTATCATTTTACTTCATCTCTTTCTTCGTATGCAAATTTATTGAAGTTTTAGAGTTTTCCCTTGTATCGTTACTCACACAGTCGCTGTGCCGGTTGTTGTGCGCGAGTTCGGCAGACGAGTGGCGCTTGTTGAGCCCAACCAGCTCGACGGATCCACGAGTTCGCCCTGCAGCGACTAAATGCGGTAGCACCATCGTGGCCAGTGGAGTTCAAACAGGTCAGTCACTACATAGGGCTATCAGGCTTTTTACTGAGTCCCACCGCGTCCGTTGCAGGTGTTGGCCTCTCATCCTGCGCTGAAGAAACGATTGGAGAGCGCTTTATTGTTCCAGTCAAGTCGCCAGGTCCAAGCCCAGCAAGTGGCAAAGGCTAAGGCCGTGGCGGATTCTAAGGTATGTGCTGCTAGTTCTTTGAAAAAAGGTCTATAAGGACTTCCCCTTGATCTGATTGAAATTTAACTTCCCTTCTTATAGATGGGGTTTTACATCTTGTTCTGAGCGACAGCTTTCATGTCCTATGTTGAAGAGGGGGCAGAGAAGTTACAAATAGGGCACGTCGTACATTCGAGATTTCAAAGGGGGTCGTATTTGGTCGCTGGAGGATTGGAGGAAGTAGTGCCCTTGAGAAATTTTCACTGTATCCCTTTCCCTTCCCAATCCACGACATGCCGACGTTTTCTGAGAAAAATGGAGGAAATATCGAGCAAAAAAGGTAACTTTCAAAGGCAGCAGGTAGGCCGCGGCCGTGAGAACCAAATGCGCGGGGACCTGTCAGGCTACGTTCGTCAACCAGCGACCATCCCTAACTCGAGCGTCCTTCAGCGTCAGCGACAAGGAAAATATAAATATCGATCTGGCGAACGGCAGCGTCTACCAGCGTCCACGAGCGTACGAGCGTCCGCCAGCCACCATCAGCGTCTCACGGGACTAGGAAAGTTTGGACATCGATCTACCAACTTCCACCAGCGACCAGGAGTGAAGAGTAAGGGGAAGCAGGAGGGAGGAGAGTGCTGCATGGGCGTCGTGAAATTGTGGCGTGTGCAACCGCACCACAATTTCACGACGCCCATCCAGCACCACACAATACTACCACACAATACCGTACTCCTGGCCGCGTGGACGCTGGTAGACGCTAAATCGATATCCATACTCTCCTAGTTCCTCGAATCGCTGATCATCGCTGGTAGACGCTGAGGTGCTGGTGGACTCTGCCTATGAACACAGCCTAAGTGTTATGCGCTCCACATTCGTGCCCCCCCCCCCCTCCCTTCTTTTTATGTGTTGGCGACCAGGACACGTCAGTGAGAAATGTCCAACGATTATGGTTCCCCACCCAGCAGCTCATCAAGAAATTGGTTTTTCCTCTCCTGGGAGCATGCCGCTGCCTGTCCCCTCCCGACTGCAGTAGCGCCGTAAAATTACCTTGGTTGTCGATTAGCGCTGCTTACCCTGTCCATCTTTTCAGATCTTTATTAACTTTTCCCGCAAGGTGGATGTGAATGAAAATTTGTCCCCGGGGAACTTTCCTTGGAAGCATGTTTCGGCACAAATCTTCGAATCTGACCGAAACTTGCAAAATTGGGGCAATAAAGAATTAGTAGTGACGGGCTTTTTCAGCTTGGATAATAGGCAGTTTTACAGAGTGCTCACCTATCACAACAACCAACAATAAAGCTCACAATGGATTTCAATGCGTTTGGAAAAGCTGCATCTTAAATGTGTAAGAGGGGGCTTGTGTTGTATATTTTCGCTTGAAATACTAGGATTTTTAAAATTTATTGATGACACTTTATTGTATGGGTATGAATTTTGTTGCTTGGTGCAATAGTCTCATTGACTGTTTTAATCGTAACTGGTTTAATATTAACTATGTGTGAAATAAGGCTGAGATTCGCTGAAACGATACGATGCTTTCAAATGAGGCAAACGATGCATTTGTTTGTGAAATATTGTTGAAACAGTTGAATTTTCATAAATTGTACATATACGTATATAATTATGATTGATATCATCGCAGTCAGTCGGGGCGTAACCAAGAGGGCGAAGTCAGCCCTGCCCACTGGTGCCCTTTTTACCAATGATAATCGACTGGTAGAAGACGACACGGGAAAACTCATTCCGCGCCTGTTGACTCCGCCCCGACTGATTGCGGCGATGTGAACTGATGACTGATGAGAAATCTATTGTGAAAAGAACTCGATAGCCGCAAGTACTCTATGAATGCCTGATCGCTTTTCCATGATATTTATTGAATTCTATATTGAATCGTTATGTGCTTCGTTATGTTAGGGTTGTAGGTTATAGCTACACATGATGATGCTCAATATTTGTATGCAATACGATATAAAGAAAATTTTGAATTGTGTTGATTATAGTGAGTGTCTGGAAGAGTTGTTGGAACTGTTGTCGATCTCAGTCCCCTCTTCCCCCAGGAGTAAACCCATGCGATTCTAAAATGGTTCACGAAGAGATACGCGTCGGGAGATTCCACCGTTGCGGCGGCGCGCGTAAACGAAGTAGTTCCTGGGTAGGTGACATATTGCAGCTAGAGAACTCCATCGCTGAATAGCATTTGTAGTATAAAGCGAAGTTTTATGTGCATAAAGCGAAGTGGGGGCGTGGTCGGACGAGTTGTCACCTTCGGGTTCGGCTCTTTATCCTTATCGCATCACTTTCACCATTCGAAAAGCAGAGAGCTATCAGCGTAACAATCGTACCACCTCAAAACCTTGAAAATCCCTCGATAGGTGTATGTGAAACGAGCACGCTCTATCAGGGGGAATTTTCGGAATAGACCCCTTCCCCTACTTTCGTTCTCTGCTACGAGCTGCCTTCCTCCTCACGCTACCTACTAGATTGCCTCTCCTGCCAACTTGTCAACCAATAATGTAAAAACAAGATTAGAATTTCAAAGAATAAAACAAATTCACATAAAAGTTTACAAATAATATTGAACAGTCAGCTACTTTTTGTCAAGCCTTTTACTACTTTTACCTGACTAATTTTCCTAGAATCCACTCTCTGCCAATAAATTTTGCCGTCAAGCGGGAGGCGGAGGTGAGGGGGGGCAAGAGTGGGTATGCAGAACTTACGAAACAGAAAAAAAACCGCAACCAAGGAACGGCCAAACTTGGAAATGACGAAGTCTTCCATCTTCTCCCAACGACGAGCAAACTACGACCACCTCCTTCCAACAACTAAATACGACCCCCTCAGCTGATACGTAGGCACATGCCTGGTGTGAAATCGAGTCCATATCTCCTCCAAAGTAGGAGCTCCCTAGAGGAGTTCCCCTTGCTTCTTTGTAATCCAGAACACTGCTCGGACACACTAGGACCCCTTGATCTTGTTGGCTGATGATCTCTAAGGGCGCGTATCGCCCGGGTTTTATCGATAGCTCTTCAGCACATCCAATGGATGAGCATTGATGCAGCAGATTCCATTTTGCAATTCCTCTTAGTTTTATCGTTCTCCTCTTCGGCTGAGCATTTTTTCAAATTTCGTCCATCTTAGAAATCCAGAGTATTTCGTCGCATTGTACAGAAACCTTATCGTTCGTATTTTGAGGCCCAGATCCCTTTTTTTTAATTAGTGACGTGCTGAACTTGTATCGTTCCTGTTTATGACGCTTCTGCAAGAAAAATTTAACGCGAACATGCTTTTTCTGCCACTCACACTAGAATTAATTCCACAAAACTACTTTCTAACCGCTACATTCGCTCGTTTCTGTTCGAAAAACGCTGGAATCCGAATACTTGAATTTTTGAAATGCAATGGTGACATTTTGAAGAGGTAAAGGAAATGTCCTTTGTTGGAGGCTCTGCCACTTTGGCTATTTTATTATCCATTTGTTTACATGGTGCGGCTTCGACCAGGGAAAGCACTCCCTGGTTAAACCGTGAGTTCGGTGATCTCACGCTGGGAGCGCCGCGAATCGGAACGTAGGGATGTCAAAACTGCTAAACAGAATTTGGTTATTGTCCTATTGTTTTTTGTCGCCGCCATGCGAACAATTCGATTGGACTGACGGCAAATATTCGGGCAATAATTGTAAGTCGGCTAATGCCACTGACAACCGCAGTAAGTGCACGTGTGGCAAATCCTAGCGAGGGGGGTCTTATTCGGTCGGTGGAGGAGGAGAGAGGATCTGTATTCGAGGACTTATTTAGGATTGTTATATTTTCTCTTTTTTCTTGTTTCAGGTGTGCGCATGTATCTCAAACCTCCTTCCCTCTTCCGTGCACTTCCCTCAACGAAAAATCCGGAGGAGTTGAAGAATGAAAAACTGGAATCGTTAAATTGCTGATTTTCTCATTTTCCTGTTCCCCACGTGCGTATACCTTCACCCCTTCCTTCCCCCATCCAGGTCCAGCATCCATCGTTGGAGAATCCGCCAACAGGGAATCGTCTTTGTCCCGAAAAATTTCTTTTCCAACAGTTGAATTTCTTTTTCACGGGCGCCTATGAGGTGCGATGGTTGGCATTGGCTTGTTGTTGAGAGAGAAAGGCACGGGGAGGATTTTCGCATCTTGAGGGAACTTTAGGCAGGCGTTGGGAGAAAAATTTCCCCGATGTTGATTTCAAGCCACCTTTCAGGGTGGGGTCGCACAGACTCGACCAAAATCCCCAACTCATGATGTGCCTTGTTCCCACCACGGCTCCGCAGGAAGATCCGGAAAAGTAGACGCCATTCGGAACAATCATCCGGAAAAGTGGTGGAAAGTTGGGAGAAGTCAGGAAGATGGCACGTAGGAAAGGGGAAGGAGGGCAGGTCATAACACGAGAAGGTTTGGAGATGGGCCTTTTTGTGAACTTTCTTCCCAACTGCAGAACTAATCAGAAGTGGTGTGTTGGATGGGAGACCCAGGCTGCGAAAGCAGCGTTGCAAGTGGGGACTACCTTGCAATTCCCACTTGCAACGCCACACCTAACTGATTCCACGTGAAGATCCGGTGTTCTAAAGTCAGCTAGGAAGTGTCATAGTTTGTGCGCGAGGCCCTTGGACCAACCAGCGCCACTGACCGATCAACCAAAGTGTTGCCCCGCCGAGGGTGGGTATAGCAAATATGAATGGGGAAAACCAAAAAAAGTCAACAACCAGAAAAAATTTTCTGACTCGAAAAATTTTTCTTGGAAGGCAAACACGACCTCCTCCTCAGCTACTAAGTACGACTACCTGGTGGAATTCCCCAAAAGATGCCGTACCCTGCCTCCTGAACGTTTTCGAGTTGCCCATTTTCTTAGCTGGAGGTTTTCATCATGTTCTGCGTTAGCAAAATGTTAGAATGCTAGAGAAAATTCGAATGTAAGTAACATAACCTACCAACAAGAACATCTTAGTCCATTTCCGGTCGGCGCATCCTCTAGGGACCAAACGGGCTATCAACAGGAACATGTTCAGGACAGCCAAAATGGTCTCTTCAGGTGAGAAAGAAAGAGAAGAGTCCCTGGAGTTAGCTCGGAAAATAAGCCTCTCTAATGGCTACCCCCCAGAAGGCAAATACCCCCCTAGACCACCCACTAGGAGTCAACAAAGTCCTGTGACCGAGGATTGGGAGAAAGTACCATTTTGCTTACCCT